TTTGGGCCCCTCACTACAAGAAGGACGTCGAGGTGCTGGAGCGTGTCCAGAGAAGGGCAACAAGGCTGGTGAAGGGTCTGGAGAACAAGTCTTATGAGGAGCAGCTGAGGGAGCTGGGGTTGTTTAGCCTGGAGAAAAGGAGGCTCAGGGGAGACCTCATTGTTCTCTACAACTACCTGAAAGGAGGTTGTAGTGAGGTGGGTGTTGGTCTCTTCTCCCAAGTAACTAGTGATAGGATGAGAGGAAATGGTCTCAAGTTGCGCCAGGGGAGGTTTAGATTGGATGTGAGGAAAAATTTCTTTACTGAAAGAGTGGTTAAACATTGGAACAAGCTGCCCAGGGAAGTGGTTGAGTCACCATCCCTGGAAGTATTTAAAAGACGTGTAGATGTGGCACTTAGGGACATGGTTTAGTGGACATGGTGGTGTTGGGTCGACAGTTGGACTTGATGATCTTAGAGGTCTTTTCCAACCTTAATGATTCTATGATTCTATGAACTTAGATTAAGACCGCCCAGAGCCTGCATGTTTTCATCTTGTTTGGCACTACCCATTTTGAAGAGAGCCTAACATTTCAATCCTATACAGTCTTACCCTGCTCAATGGAAACGGTTTAATTATGATTTGTCTTAAAACTATTTATCTTCAGTACTTGATGATCTACATACCCAGTTTATTACCAGAGAAAGTTCTAAGGTAACTTCTGAGCTCTCAGAAACATAGCTCCTACTGGAGACAATCACGATGTGAGCTGCTATCACATGAAGGATGCATTCAAATGCAGAAACTGATGTGAGTTTGTAATGCTCCACCATTAGACCAACAATAACATAAATAAACTTGAGAGAAGCCTAATGGAAAGGATGCAGGTTTCCTGCTTCTGATGACCAAGATTATGGTAAGAATATGCAAAGAGTGAAGAAATTCACTACATTTACTGAAACAATACTCCATTGCATACTAAGCACTCCTAAAGTAACAGAGGCTTAAAGTTCACTCCAACTCCTTCTGATATTGATGAGAATCAGAGCTCTCGCTTCCCAGGCTGGAGCCATAAAAACCAAATGAGGCAACACAGCAAAGCCATTTCTGGAACACATTTTTGGCTGGACCATGTCTTTAACAGATACAATGTGCTAAAGTGAACATATAAAATGGTTACCGAAAAGCTGCAAAGTACATAAAAACTCCTACTTTTCTTCACCTTGGATCAGGTAGGTGGAAAATCATTGTCATCATAAACGCAAATCTTTTTATTTCCTTTCATTATTTAACCACATTTTATTTTATTTCTTCCAAACTAAACACTTTTACAGTTACACACCTGGCTGCTCTGGGATGTTCTCCTCTCAGAGTGGAATGGACCAGCTTTTATTCTTCCGACCTCTAGTCTTACCGTACCTAATGAACACTAAAGAACCAGTCATTTATAACAAATCTCTTCTGTCTACAACATTAAAGCCTGTGACAATATTTAAGTCACTTATTAGATGGTGGAAGATGAAAAAAATATGGACAGATGGGAAAATAACAGGCTAACAACCCTGTGATGAGCACTGAGCAGACAGAGCTCATGGCAGGATCAGAGCCACACGAAGTAAGTACACCATGGTATTCAATACTGCACAGGGTGCTTTTTGGATTAACCGGTATTACAATACAGGTGTGAAAATTACACAAGAAGATTAATTCTGTTACCTTTCACTTAACAGGGAGTAGTTTTGGTTTCTCAATTATAATGTCAACATATATTTTCAAGATGGCATTTTTCAAGGAATAGTGAAATTGACTATTTTCACAATAAGCACTAAAAACAGTACCACACCTCAAAGTATTAATCATTATTTCTGTTGATATGACTGAGAACACGGTATTTAAACTAGTAGGGAGTCATCTCTCTCCCACTCTTGAAATTATCTGTTACTCTGGATCCATACCAACGTAACTAAAGAAATTTTGGGCAGGAGGTTTTTCCAAACATCCATCTATAGTTTAAGTGACCTTTCTGCATCTGACTCCCAACAGGAAGCTGGGTCATATGGACTGTTTGCACATCGGAAAATCCTTCCACTACTCTTTAAGATTTTAATTATAATATTGAGTATTTACTGCATAAAATGCACGTCTCAGAAGAAAATTCACCCTGCAATCAAATATTTAGAAACCAAGACATTAGGCTGATTTTGGGAACAGATAGGTAGTTATCATCACAAACAACATTTAGAAAACTGGACTTCCAAAATAACACAAGTAGTGTCAAAAGAAGACCACCTATCTGCAACGTATTCACATACAGAAATTTCAAAGTTTTGTTGCTATTTTGCTTTTTCTTCTTTGTTCCATGGAAGTTGTTAGTATGAACTCCTGTATCCAAAGAACTTAATACTACGTAAGTTTGCCTTCATTTATCATGCTTTAGCTGTATTACCCTAAGAGAGATTCAGGTATTTGTCAGAAAATTCACAGTAAGAAATAGACCAATGTATCAAAACCAACAACAGGACATACCCATTCAAACACGATTTCCATACCTCATATCCTGTTGCTATTCTCTTATGGGTGACACTAAAAGAGATTTATTACTAAATTGCTTTTTATCTTTTAAATAATGTTGACTTTTCTCTATGTCCTGGGAAAGACTTGATCAGGGCTTAGGCAAAATCATTCTCTCCTGCCTGTATGAACTGACTTGTATTAAACCATACAGACAACTCTTATCCAAAATGGAAAACTGAGGAAGTAATCTATGTATCTGAAATTACCACATCCTCACATAAAATGCAAACCCACAAATGAGATTTAAAAGTTATAATGTGTGAAAGCGAGAGGCAATACTTTCCAACTGAACTTGTGAATAAATCAATTCACATTTAGTTTTATTACAGCTTTTTCTCTCTTCCTTTAATGTCCCATTTGATAAATCCCTAAGTCAAATGAGGGGAAAAAATGATCAGCTTTTCACATGTTTTAGGGATACTTAAAAAGAAACACTGCAAGAACAGGCAGAATTCTCAGCCTGACAACACATCCTAGTGGTCTCATGCTACTTAAAATACGTTGGGATTTTCCAAAGATTATAAATAATTTTCTAGCAAAATACATCTCAGGCAATTCAGGACAGTTCGCTCCTAGATCTTACTCTCGTGAATGAAAACAGAACTGATACCTGAACTAAAAATGGTGACTGTCTATATGTGAGTGATCATGCTTTACTCCATTTATATTGCGTGAACAAAACAGAATCATTAACAGTAATATATCTAAGGTGTTTTAAAAGCCTCATTTATCAGGGCTAGGACAATTAATTACAAGTACAACTAAGTGGAATGCAGTATTTAAAACATGAATATACGAATGATAAGTGGGAACTAAGAATCTTCAGTCAGTTCCTCCAAAATGCTTGCCAAAATAAAAGAAACTTTCCACATAAAATGGCAATTTTATTTAGAGATGTAAAAGTGCAGCATATGAGGAAGAAATGCACTGTCCTCAGATAAAATAAAGTATCAGGTAAGAACGGAAAAGTACTATTACCCCAGAAGAGTATATTAACGAGTTCACTACCACAACACAGACCCAGTTCTGGCATTCTCACTTATGGGCACAGGCTAAAAATACAGAAAAAGTGCTCCTACCTCCCCTTTCTAACCCCCACCGCCACCTCCCCAAAAGAAAAAAAAAAAAAAAAAGCTCAAGAAACTGTTCAAGACCTGGAAAAATATACCTTTGAATGTGAGTGCAAAGAAGCATGATTGTGTGTCTATGTATCCAAGAGTCAGCTATGAGTAGTGGCTGTTAAATTTTTTCCAGTGGAATGGTTTTCCATTGGAAAATGCTGAAAATGCTGA